GGGGTAGGGGGGCGGTTGGGTTGGGGGAGCTTAAAGGGTCTTTTCCAACCTAAATGAGTCTGTGATTCTATGATTCTTCCCCTCCATTATCATCTTCCTGCTCCTCGTGCTTCTTCTTCTCCAGCCCTTTCCCATCCCAGGAGGACTTACTGGGTTGTTTCAACTGTGCTACTGCTCAGCCCTAAAAGGAGAATGACAAAGATCCACGCCACCGAGAGGTACTAACGGGATTTATCTACCCATCCTGCAACTGCCCAGAGAGCAGAAACCTCCTGTCTTGACTGTCAGCCTCGCAGCTCTCATTAGGAGGGAAATACGATACTTTCCCCAGCTAATTAATTGCATTTGCTGATGCTTTAGCAGGAGATGCTAAGTGCAAGGGGCAGAGGAGAATTCCCCAAAGTTGCTCCAAGTTCTTTCAGATGTGAATGGGGAGCAAACATGATGACATTAGCCAGGCTAAGCAGCCTGTTAGTCTTTAAAAATGACAGTCATCATATATACCCTGCTGATTAGGTATCAGAGGGAGTGGTGAAACCTGTACAAATGCTCTATTAATCACAGACCTGTATTCGTTAATGCCAGCTTAAAACACACTACGACAACGATAACGTTACAAACACAACCCAGGTGGCTTGGAAAGTGCACACAGAGCCCGGGCTGACGTCTCTCTGGGGCGGCGATGGCATGCATTGCTCCTTGAGTTCTCTTAAAAGCCCTTTGTGTGGGACCACAGACACTGCAGGGGTGACAGAATAGAATAGAATAGAATCGTTTGGGTTGGCAAAGCCCTTGAAGCTGCCCCAGCCCAACCGCCCCCCTACCCCTGCCATCCCACCCCCAAACCCTGGCCCTCAGCACCGCCTCTGCCCGGCTGTTAAATCCCCCCCGGGCTGGGGACTCGACCCCTTCCCTGGGAGCAGAGCCCGACCCCCCCGGCTCCCCCCTCCTCTCAGGCAGTTGTAGGCAGCGATGAGGGCTCCCCTCAGCCTCCTCTGCTCCAGGCTGAACCCCCCCAGCTCCCCCAGCCGCTCCCCAGCAGCCTGGGGCTCCAGACCCCTCCCCAGCTCTGTTGCTCTTTTCTGGACACGCTCCAGCAACACTACGTCTTTGGGACTTGTCCATGGCCAGCAAACTCTGCAGCCAAAACCGAGCCATAGCTCACAACACATCCTCCACAGCACGTCCTCCACCCCAAACCAGAATTATTTCTTCTTATACTCAAGGTATCCAGCTGAGAGGGTCAGGGTAGGATGCATCTTTGAGCTCTTGTGGTCTCTGATGCTCCAAACTGCCAGATATCTACCCGGATTCTCCTCAAATATGCTGTGACCTGCCAAGTATCCAAAAAACACATCCATGTCATGGACAGGGACTAAGTGAAGGACTGTGGTGGAGCCTCACCGTGAATGCTCCTTATTCCCCATGGCTCTGGCATAAAGGCAGACCTCTGCAAGGTCTGCAGCCAAACCTTGGCCACCAACCTGAATACCCATCTGAGAGCTCTTACAATACCCCGCTGTCAGTTTTGGCACACGCCACCAGAAAGGCCTGATCATTTGCCTTCACAGTCATGAGGGACGGAGGAATAATACCTCCTCCAGCTTCAAGGTGCTTACGTCTCCATTCTTTGTAGCCTTGCGTTGGAAGCTGATTTCTTCTGCATCTTCTTCAAGGGGCCAGGACCAGGAGGGAATCAGATGTGTTAAGACTCCTTGAGGGATGGGGAATTGGGTCCAGATTCCTTTCTGTGATGGTCTCTGCTAGGACAGTAGCTTAACATTTCAGGTAGCAAGCAGTATTCCCTTCAAAGTGCCAAGGATCCCGGATGGGCCTATCCTGAACATTTTGAGAGCATCCCTGGTGACCTCTCCCTACTCCTGGAAAGCCGCTATCCTCATAACCAACTCCTGAAGTGACACAAGCTCCGCAGCGCAGGAACGGTTCTTAATGACATATTCAGGGACAAAGAAAAGGACGCTGGAAGGTGAGGTCTGACACTGGTCCCACATGGGTTTTACTGGACTAGGGTAACTTTAGCTGCAGGTGCCACTTGGGGGCATAACGTTTTACCGAATGGGCCGGTGATGTTCCTACGTGCTGGGAAGTGGGGCGGCACCGAGTTTCCTCAGCACTCTGTGGTCGCAGCGACTTGTTTGCTGAATAAACCGATGCTGGAGACTGTTTGCAAAGTGCAGGGCAGCTTTGCCTTCTTCACGTAAAGCCAAGGTAAGTTTGAGCAGTTGTCCTCTCAAAGCTGCGCTCCTTCCTGTAAGGAAAAATGCCGATTCCCACCAGAAGACTTGTTTTTGGGACTTTCTCGTGCTGCCTTTTTTGCATCAGCTTGAAATGTTAAACGTTTGATGGATAAATGTTTGATTTCTACGTGTTGAATGTTTGACGAACGGGGCACTCAGTGAAATCAAGTCTGGTTTTCATGGGGATCTCTACTTCTGACTGGGCTTTATGAAACCTTCACGCACTGCTGCAGCAATTATGTTTCAGTTGCCTACATTAAAAATTATGCATATTCAAAGAAAACAAAACAATTTGGGCAGCTATGCAGGGCAAAACAAAACTTTGCTGGGCCATGTTCTCAAAGGAACGAGCCCGCTGCTGGGGGGGACCAGAGCCTGAAGGTTTCTGGATAGTGCTGGTCAACCAGTAAATATTAGTCCAGGCAAATCAAGTTTCCAGAGCCAATCTTCATAAATATACCTGACACTTCAGAAGAGCCCTGAAATGTAAAACAAAATAAAAAACCCCCAATGAACCCAACCCTCTCCCCAGTGAGTTCCCGTAAGTACAGCCAGCAAGACCGAACAGCAAGTCCACCGCTCGTTAAAAGCTTCATTTCACAGACTCCAGCGGGAAAAAGACAGAAGACGCGTGTGGCCTTCAAAGGTCACCACTGCTCTTCCAAAGACTCCAATTTCATGTGCAACGGGTGAGTCCAAACCTACAGCGGGATCCACATGGATTTATTCAAGAACGGGAAGGGAAGACGACATGCGAGCACAGACACAACGGAAACGCTAGTTTGCTGAGCCTGGAAGGAAAAGGAAGGGGAAGAGAGGAGGAAAGCCAGCAGCAACTGCACACGAGGGTTATAAGGAGGGACTAGAAGTGTTAAGAGCAGCAGAGTAACTTCATTTTCCATCCAACTATACATGAAGATGAAAAAAAAGCAACAACCCCCTCTTCCCACGCCTTCACGCCGACACTACCGACTACAGGGCAGAACGGGGAGATCCCTGAGGACAAACCCTGCGGTCTGCAGAGGTGCTGGAATAAGACGCAGCTGATCACAGGATCACAGAACACCTCGAGTTGGAAGGCACCCGTAAGGATCATCGAGTCCAACTCCCTGCTCCTTGCAGAAGCAGAACTGTACATAACTTCACACAACTCTGTAAGATTTCAGTTTGCTTTTAAATAACCTTGAACTTTTAATGATGACAATAAGTAGGAACAATCCATGGGGTGAAGGCACGCACCTGAGCTGTAGCTGTCTGTCGAGGACTGCGAGATGGAGCGGGAAAGCGAACGGCGGCCGATCTTCGTCGGGCGCTTGTTGAATTCTTGCTTTTGGTCAGCAAACTGGATCTGTGAAAAGAAATTAATGATTAAGTCAGATGTAAAAACCCAACAGGCTGATACAGAAGATTAACGCCAAGAACTTGAAGCCTTGAGCAGAGGCCAACACCCTCTCAGTTGCGGGCTGAATCGCAATTCCTGTTATTTAATTTGGGGCAGGGTACACTAAATTGCCTGCTTCGTTTGATTTCAGACCCCCCGCCAGACACAGCATCAACACACTCGCCTTTCAAACACCTTGAAGCTCCTCGTCCAACCATACCCATCAGAAAGCTTCCGTCCCCATTACACACAAGCTTATCTTTCCAAAATGCTAACGATAAGGGTTATTCGTCGCAAGAGAAGCCCCACCAGGGCTCCCCAACGCTTGCAGAGCTGATGCGGACATTGACCTACCGCGCAACGTTTATTGTGATGACCAATAGGAGATGGTCCCTGTTCGCTGCACAAAATACAAAAGGCAAAAATAAAAACTCTCGAAGTAACGAATGCGCTTCCAGCTGCACTCTATATTAGGAAACATTTGAGGTTAGATCCAACGCTCAAGGCTGTTGAAACTGTTGGGAGCGTGGGTGCCTGGAGAGCACAAGTATTTAAGAGCATCGTAGTTAAGAGTACACAACTTCACACAACAAATCAAGCAACGAAGGATAAGGCATGGAGCAATGTGCAGACTGGCAAAATGTCATTACCCAGGTTGGACAGAAGGAACCGACTACCATTTACCGGCAACGCCTACAACAGTACGGCAGCAATGGATGTAACACCAATATTTTGTGGCGTTTTGCATCCGCCCGTTTTTTTAATGGAGCTCACCTCATTGCAACGAGTTGTTGTGGATCATAGAATCATAGAATCACAGAATGGTTTGGGTGGGAAGGGACCCCCAGAGGTCACCCAGCCCAACCCCCCTGCAGGAGCAGGGACACCTTGAACCACATCAGGTTGCTCACAGCCCCGGCCAACCTGGCCTGGAATGGTCCCAGGGATGGGGCCTCCACCCCCTCTCTGGGCAACCCCTGCCAGGGTTTCACCACCCTCACTGGAAAGAAGTTCTTCCTTAGATCCAGCCTAAACCTCCCCTGCTTCAGTTTAAAGCCATCCCCCCTTGTCCTGTCCCAGCTGGCCCTACTAAAAAGCTTGTCCCCCCCTTTCCTCTGGGCCCCCTTGAAGCCCTGACCGGCCGCACTCAGCTCTGCCCGCAGCCTTCTCTTCTCCAGGCTGAACACCCCCAACTCTCCCAGCCTGGCCTCAGAGCAGAGGGGCTCCCGCCCTCGGATCATTTTAGTAGCCCTCCCCTGGCCCCGCTCCAACAGGTCCATGTCCTCCTGGTGCTGAGGGCTCCAGAGCTGGACGCAGGGCTCCAGGGGAGGTCTCACCAGAGCAAATGGCAACCTGCTCAACCTGAGATGAAGAATCAAGCTCGTTTGCGTTTCAATCATCACCAAGGAATGAAGATTTCAGACACCCTGGCAACATTTGTGAAGCCCCAAGACCAGCAGGGGGTTTGAGAGCAGCCGAGCACAGCCCAGCTCAGCCCTGCCCGTGTTATGGCTGTGGTAACTGCCAAGCTGAGAGATCAATACTTATCTCTCAATCAGCAAACTGATCTGCTCCAAAGCATGTGGAGGACAGGAGGGATAAGTGAAGAAGCATCACTTCTATCTAGGCACTTTTAAGGGGAGAATTACATTTAATGTTGGCATTTACAGAACAGGCTCCTGCTGGTGGCTTCATGCCTTCCCTGCCCAATGCACTGCGTGGAGGAGGAGAACCTCATTCTCCAGGCTTCTTTTTACTCCTGCCCTTGGTTGGAAAGAACGGCAAGAAGGCCAAGTAATCAGTATTTCCTTACTGTAACCTGCCCAAGGCCAGGTTTTCACACCAACCAAACATCTGCTCTTACAGGTCATTATTAGTGATTTTGCCGTAGAAACTCAACCCTTCCGTGCCCCGTTGACGTGCACCTTGGCTTGAACTTAAGTCTTAACGCTTCTCTGCTCACATCAGCACCGACCTTCAGCTAAGGGACCCCAAAGGGCTTCACAAGCATTGGACACGTTTCAACAGACACTAAAACCGCTCAGAGCCCACCTGCCTTGGCCAAGGGACGCGGCGCATCTCAGAACCACACCAGCAGCCCAACGTCCCTTTTAATTCTCTCTGTATGTGGCTACTGGGCCATATTTAAGCATTCAGGAGAACAGGATTACTGCTTTAGGGAATATTTTCACCCCCAGTGCTCCCCGCTTTGTAAGCCAACCGCTGGCGCTCCCACCACGCTCATCATTCATGCTAAAATCTCAGGGCAATTGGAAACACGACTTCCAATGGCAAATTTCCTTGGACTTTGCTACAGGCATCAACTGACTCCATCTGGTGCAACGGGGTTAAATATTTACATCTCCAAAATAGGGAAAGCCATTAATTGAGCCTATTAACAAACCCCTTGGGGTATTTTGAGAAGGTAGTTCTGTTTAAAGAAGTCGCCTCACCATAAAGAATTTGATCCCGTGCTGGGAACGCAGATTCAAGCTCAGTGGTTTAAGCAGCAGCGCTTGACGTTGTGCTTGAGACGGGCTGGTGATGCTGTAGAGCTGGCACCCGGCTTTTGGGGCCGGTAAGTGAAGGAACAAGGCGACAGGGGTCTCAGGTGGCTCATTCGGAGTCCCCTGCGAAGCCAAGTGTGAGCTGGCCCAGGGACTGGCAGCCCAAGCCGCTGGGGAGGGGGGAAAGGACCTGGGAGAGGATTTGCAGCAGCACCTGGAAGCTCTTTTTTTTTTTTTCTCTGCTAATCTTAAACCAAACAACAGAACGGCACCAGATCAGGAAACACACAGGGGAGAGAAAAAAAAACCCCACATCAAACTCATATTACAGTCAAGAGCTGCGCTGCAGATTAACGGCTCTGATCCCGGCGGGATGGAGTCTGTGCAGACACACCAATTTTTTTGGTTCCTTTTCTAAGAAGCTGCTGGCCCGAAATAACTTCTTTTTTTTTTTTTTTTTTTTTTTTTTTTTATTATTTAAAACAAATCCCTCGCCAGCTGAGCCACTTCATCAAAGCGTCGGGTTATTTGTGTGAAACGCTGCTGGCGGCAAAGTGAGATACGCTGGGAGTCTAAGCAAGGGTGAGCAGTTCCTGTCAGAGCTAACGTTTTCCTCTTCCACACCATCTCTTCAAGGACGCTCAATGCAATTATTTCAAGCGACGCGGTAATATTGATAATTGCATGCGGAGCTCCTGAAGTACCTCCGCGTGCAACACCCATAGGCAAGGACATGCCGAAAAGGAAAATAAGTCATGAGCCAAATTAGGAAGGGCTAGAACTGGACTTTATTATACAATAGAGTCATAGAATAGAATCACAGAATCACAGAATGGTTTGGGTGGGAAGGGACCCCTAGAGCCCACCCAGCCCAATGCCCCTGCAGGAGCAGGGAC